ACATTCTTTTTATAAGGGTGTGGAAACCTCTCCCTATCAAACGTGTAAATAGACAATATCTAGCACGGGTGGACTTGGATTGTTACATTAACATTATCATTTCTTGCAATTAATACGAAAAGCAAGAAGGGGCGGCACAAGGCGTTAAGACTCAAAAAGGAGTTTTCTAGTCTCTCTTTTGACTTAGACTATCTAAACGATCTCAACCCACCCATGCATATCCAAGGCCTAAAAAACGTTTCTGTTCCATTAAAAAATTTAGTAAGTTGAAAAATCTGATCAACTCAACTCAGCCATTACGATTTGGGTTGGATTATGAACTTATATGAGTTGGGGAATGTTCAAATAAATCACTGTCTGATCAAACTAACTCAAAATTATTTTTAATTTCAAAATATACATTTTTGCATAAAAATAATTTTTAATTATTTAAAAAATAAAATTTCAAAATATATATTTAAAATGAGTGACAAATTTTTATTAGTTATTTAAAAATAAGTAAATATATGCTTATGTTGAATAATTATTTTATTAATAAAATCCAACACGACTATATTTTAACTAATGTTTTTCTAAAGTGACGTGCTCAAGTATTTAAATATGAAATAACATAATAATTAAATTTATATTAACCCTTGTTAACCATTTATTTATTTTTTTATTTTCTAAATGACTAATATAAAATGAGAATTTTTAATAAATTTTAAAAGATGAGGAATAAAATAAATAAATAAATCAGAATTATCCACTCAGTTATTTTTTTTCATAAGATTAAATCCTGACCGTTGAAGAGCATGACGTGGAAGGGTCATAGCCATACACATCGTCTATAAAAGCCCATCGTCGTGCATCCGTCTCCACAAGCAAAAATCCCCTTCCACGGAAACAAGATAACCTTCTTCCTCCGTCTCCATTTTTCCTTTCAAATTCGAAACCCTAATTTTCAAAAATGGCAGCCACATCTCGATTGGCTAGATTCATAAGCGAAGCTTGCCCTCCCCAATTCGTCTCTGTAATGAGGCGCAGAAGCCCCAAAGTTCTAGACACCATTAACGAAGAAGATCACAGAGAAGCTCTCTCCTCCTCTTCCTCCTTGAAGATCGACAAATTCTCTGTTTCTTCGCTGCCGTCTACCATGGCTGCTTCGCCGCCGTCTCCTGCAACTTCCGCCGCCGTTAGTTCCAAATACTTTCTCAATCAGGTCCCCTTGAGGTCCTTCTCCCTTTTCGAGCACTGAGATTCGGTTTTTAATTACTTTCTATTTTTAGTTTCAATGGCCTTCGGAATCTGCTTTTCGTTTTTGCGCCAATCGGATCGGGTCCATTCCGGCCGGTTATGGTGTTGTAGATATCGAATCGACGGCGGATTCGGCTGCCGCCGGTGATGGTGGTCGTCCTGTATTGTGTACTCCATTGTCTTATGCGATGAAACTCTTTGAAAATATAAAATAACTTGTAATTTTTATGTATTTATTCGGAAATTTTATCATGATGGAGATTAAATTTTAGAATGTTTACACATTTGATGCACGCGAATTCATAACATGATCATAAGAGATAAAATTGAAAATATTTGTAAAAGAATTCTTACAAGAATGGTTTAGTTTCGAATGCACTCATTCTTGGAGATTCTGATGGCGTGAAGACAAGCAATTGTGTTTCAGTTATTCATTTTGTTCTTGGACAAATTATATATAATTTGTAACGGTACAGAAAAAACAATAAAATAAAATATCAGTGGTCGGAAACTGCGAGATATTTTGGTTAGGCGTCGGAGATCTCATGGAACAAAACGATCCACATTCCTACAAAACCCCCACGTAACGATTCGGTCACCAAATCGTTGGAATGTAGAGGATAAGGCAACGACAAACGATTTTCCTCATCGGAGTACGACGATTGGCGAGATCGAAGGAAACAGTGACATGCTACAACAAGGCATATGATGCATATGGAGTAGGAGATGACATACTACAACAGGTATGAAAATGAGAAGTTTTATGATGCACAACCCTAAGTAACGTTACGAATGATATGATGCATGTCACTTAGAGTAATATGCGAGGAATAAATGAGACTTAGAGTAATATGCGATGAATAAATGAGGTAGTACTACATGATTTGTTTAAGATGAAAAGTATTGGGACCTCATGCATAATTATATGTTCACATGCATTAGGATACTTCCCCCCTTTATGATGAGTACAAAAGCATATACTACGATGATGAGATGATCATTATGCTTGACATGATGCATGATTGTTATTGTACCTCCGGGCGTTTGACTACAGCCTAGAGAGTTAGCCCGATGAGTAGGTCCAAGGGGGTGTGCAAGCTCGCCTGATGGGTCCATGCTTGCATGTGTAGGTCATTTGTAAAAAACTACTACACATCCAATTTTTCCGGACTAGAGGCCACTCAAAAGACTATAATTTTAAATGATAGGTCCATATTCATGTTACATGTGTTTGCATTCTCTTGATTCTCTGACTAGTCACTTACCGAGTATTTCTTAAAATTTTAAAGTCACGTGCTACTCTAATATTTTAGGTGAAGGCAAGACACCTTTATACGCGGTAAGGTACCTTACCGGAATATAATCTTTTTTTTATATATATATTTTTAACTTATTAAAAGCCAAATAATATGTAATTTTAACTTTTAATTAAAATAGTAATAAGTGTAAACTTATTCAATACATTTTTTTTAATTTCAACAATTTAATTAATATTAAAAAAACTAATTAGACTAGTGTTATATGTATATATTATCTAATACAAATATTTTTATTTTAACAAAATAAGTAATAATTAAATATTTAACAAATTATAAATACATCTAATCTATAAGATCCTATGAAATAAATAGGAGAATTTATTTTAGGATTGATATATATTTTCTTACCATTACCATTATGCTCTTGTCCATGTTTATCTCCCCCATTAAATTAATATATATTTACCCTTTTTTATTAAAAAATATTTATCACTACGAATTTGAATATTCTCAACAATGCATCACACGATGATTCTCCCGTTGGAAAATAGGTTTTGTTATAATCAAATAATTCTATGGTATTTGGAAGCTGTTTGTACCATCATTTGTGTCGCCGACGATCAAGACAATATTAAAGCTATTTGATTATCTGACGGCAAAAAATAGCGTTGAAAAAAAAATCGATCTTTGCTTCAATTGACCAATGTTAATGAAAGAATAGATCGTTTGTTGATTGTATGAGGAGAGTAAGACGAGATTTGTAAGAATTTAAACGCTAGTTACCCTAAAACTATACCTAAAATACCCTTGTGAATTAATGTACTCAATATTATACTACAGACAAGATAAGTAAGATTGAGCACAAACATATTTAAATCTTGTTTATTTTGTCTCGTATGATAATCATTTTAGTATTTGCGGTTGATTTTTTCTTAAAATAAAAATAAAATCTTTGGTAACTATTTTTTATTTTAATATTAGAGAAAACAAGATAATAAAGATCAAAATATATATAATATTAATTAGAGAGAGATAAAAAGTTAAAAATTAATAGCAAGAGATATGCAATATTAATTATAGAGAATAATTCTAATAAATGACTTAAATAATTTTTATATAATGTCTATGTATTTTATTAAACATTTATGAAATATCTCATTCCATTATTAATTTTTTTTTCTAATTTTGACGTAATTTTAATATATACCGAATATTTGAATATCTGATCGTATATTATTGACTTATCCATAATACAAACATAGACATTTACAAGAAACGTCACCTAATTTTAATGTCGGTGTGGTTCCAGTGCCCTTAGGTTTGGTTCATTTTAAACTCAATACTTTTAGAATGTTAAGTATCTGTTCTGGACACTCTCATATTTTTAGCGTATCATCTTCTTTAGAGAAGCGAAACTCGAACATCTCAAGCATATGGTCCAACTAAATAACAGTTTATTTTCATTACTTCCATGATTGTGCCTAGACACGACAACAACCGTACGTATTGAAATGGTTTGTGTCCACATATTCTCAACTTTTTGTTATTTTGGTATTGTTTTTTTTAAATGACTATTTTAGTCCAGTCGGACATTTTGAAAGAAAAAAAGACGAAAATAACCCTTTAAAAATATAAAAAATGATGGTCAAAACAAAGAAAAAAAGGGCAAATTTGTCATATAGTATTTAATTCTCTAATTATAAAATTAATACGTAGTTTAATGTATTAGTAGGTAATGTGAGAATTATAAAGCATTATAAAAACTGGTTGAACAAAAGTCTTCTGAGATTAATAATTAAATATTTTGTGTTGTAATCTAAGTATGCCATTTATTTCGGTTATCATATACGAATTACTAATTTAATTAAAGAATTATTATTATATGAATAATTCAGTCACGTTGGTCGAATTTATTTAAATTAAAAAAATAAAATATGAAGCTTGATTGGTCGGCATGGGCTTTAATTTATTAAATATCAATTTAAACAATAAAATATAACAACTCGTTCACATCTTACTGCACTTATTAATAAAATAGTTTCAAATAAATTAATAAATATATTTTTAATAATTTGACAAAAAGAATGTTTAAAATATATAAATTTAATTATTAAAATATAAATAAAATAATTTAAGTATTTTGGATAACTATCACACATATATATAAGAAAATTACAATAATATTTTGTTTTATGTATGAAAGTAGATAATATTGAATATTTGTATCCAATTAATTTTAATTTACTAGCTGTCTCATTTCTATTGGTTTATTTTTTTCCATTATGATTTATTTATTTATTTAAGGATAAACAAGGACATTATATATATAAATATAAATATATTTTTATGAGTATCTTTTTCAAATCTAACATGGTAAGATTTAAAAAATAATTTATAATATTTTAACCTAATAATGTTTCAAATTTTTTTTAATGGTATTTAATAATTATAATATTTTTTTTTTATAAAAAAAATATTAAAATAATTTTGAGTGGAACAATGGGGATTTGACTTTTCTTACTAAACCTAGCTTGTTCCAGGCTTCCATGTTCCCAATGAGATTAATTTTCGTCACAAATTACAGAGTTTTCTGGAGTTCATCACAAAGGCGATTCCGTTTTTTGAATTTACTGGTTCAATTCAATCGTTTTCCTTATTGAATTTGGTGTTGTTTCTTGTTTTAGGAATTACTGTTGATGAAATTCCCACTTTGATTCTTGTTGTTTTATCTTCTTTTTTGATTCTTGGGTTGTTGCCTGCTGCGAATCCGGTCATTTTCCTTGTTTGATTTTATATGGTCCATCGATTCTCCCCGAATTCAATGGGTAGTTTTTCTGATCTGACGGTGGGTACAATTATCTCTTTCCTTTTCCCCCATCATTGATTTTCGTTTTCTTCCACCAATCTTTCTCGGCTTTTGCCTGATTTTGATTCTTGTACTTTGGGGGGGAGAGAGAGAATCTTATTAAAGAAGGAAAAGGGAAATATGAGGATGATGAAGTCTCAGATATGGCAACCCTGTAAGAAGAAGAGGTCTTGATCGGAAGGATCTAGAGAGACAGAGAGAGATACAGAGAGAAAGAGAGAGAGAGAGAGAGATACAGAGAGAGAAGAGGATCATCGGAAATGGACGGCGGAGGTGGGAGGTTGAAGGCTTCGAGTTCGAGCAATGGTGGTAGAACCCGCGTGGGAAAATACGAGTTGGGTAGAACCCTAGGTGAAGGAAACTTCGCCAAGGTCAAGTTTGCTCGGAACACGGAGACCGATGACAACGTGGCGATCAAAATTCTCGACAAGGAGAAAGTTCTTAAGCACAAGATGATCAGTCAGGTATTTACAAGATTTCCCTGTTTCCCCTTAATTGTTTAAGCATATGGCTTGATTGTTTGTCTAATCTAATGTTTGGTTGCTGAGAAAATTGAGGAGAAAGTTAGAAGAGGTCAAAAGTTCGAACGCCAACTTGTGCTTTTGTCTCTTTCTGACGAAGTAACCAGTTGGGATAATTGTTTACTATTTCTCTTTTTGGATCTTAAAGAATTTGAAAGAACATGGTTTGGAATTTTGACTTGGAACTTCTGTTTGTTAACATCGAATTTATGGCACCAATCTTTATATATATTAGCAGACGCTTAACTTTCTGAAGTTTGTAAGAACATCGTGTGTGCTGGGACGATCAAATCGACTCCAAGAAAGAAGTTATTTGATTGCAATTTCATGGCATATCACCTACTGATTCTGAATCTGTTTCAACGGGATGGAGCCATTTGCCAATTTGTGATTTTACTTGATGGAACTCCTTTTTTTCCTTCATTTCTAATTCTTAATATCAAGAGAATTGGAGGAGAGACTATGAGATTTTGGCATTGTATGCTCTCTGGTTAGAACCCCAAGAGGCCCTCATGGTTTTGAGCATCGTAAAAGCATCACGTGAGATGAGAACTTTTGAGCCTCGTAACCACGAGGATTGTTTCTGGTGGTTAATAAGAGCCAATGTAAATAATAAAGAACTTGAGTAGTTCCACGCATTAGTTGATCTCAACTCACTGATTTTAAAGAAAAAAACATCTTGCTGTTAGAAACTGATTGAATTCGGGGGCAGTTGTTACAGTGCCACCGGTATTGTCAACTTATGCTAACTTAAGCTTTTACTTTACGTACTTTCTTTTAACCGTTGGAAGGTCTATAGATTTTATTTAGAATGAGTTTGTAACACTAAGTTTATGATTATTTATTATTATTATTCATTCCTCTGGTTGCTTTATGCAGATTAAACGCGAGATAGCAACAATGAAATTAATTAGGCATCCAAATGTTATCCGTATGTTTGAGGTTAGACTCGTGTGTTGTTGTTTAAACTATATTTTAATGATCTCATTTTTACGTACTCTTTCCTTAAGGTTACTATGTTATCGGACTGTTATTTGATGTACATTTTGCATCTGAGATGACATCTAGCAGATCTTTTGTGTAGGTGATGGCTAGCAAGACCAAAATATATATTGTGTTGGAGTTTGTCACTGGTGGGGAACTATTTGATAAGATAGTAAGATTGTGATTGCTTCAGTATTCTGCCTTCGTGCATGTGAACAATCTTTGGGTGGTTGCTTCACTTCTTTTTTCTTCACCCTAATTTCTTGTTTATTATTTTGGGATTAGGTTAGCAGAGGCAGGATGAAGGAAGATGAAGCAAGAAAGTATTTTCAGCAGCTTATTAATGCTGTGGATTATTGTCATAGCCGAGGTGTTTTTCACAGAGATCTAAAGGTGCATTTCTTTAAAATATTTATGAGAACCTCTTAACTGACTCGAGACATTGAAAGCAAAGTTTTTTAGATGATACTAGATTCAAATGTTAATATGATTTACAATCTCAGCCAGAGAATTTGCTGCTTGATGCTAATGGCGTTCTTAAAGTTTCAGATTTTGGTTTGAGTGCACTACCTCAGCAAGTCCGGGTGAGCTTGGCTAGATTTAATTTATTATATAGTTACTGTAGTTTTGTGATCTTATTTGAAGTCCAAAATAAACATCCCTAGCACTCAAAAAATGCTCAACTACGTGAAATGTTTACTTCTCAATTTCTGTAATGGCCATCTTTCGTTAATTTTGTGATCGAAATATTGGTAACTGATTTTCGATACTCTATTTCAGGAAGATGGATTACTGCACACAACTTGTGGAACACCAAACTATGTTGCTCCAGAGGTATATTCTATTAAATGTTGGTTTGAGTAAAATTTGTTCGTTTACACACAACTAATCCATTTAAATGTGTATTTTAGGTGATCAATAATAAAGGCTATGACGGGGCAAAGGCTGACTTATGGTCATGTGGTGTAATTCTTTTTGTTTTGATGGCTGGTTATTTACCTTTTGAAGATTCCAACCTGGTTGCGTTGTATAAGAAGGCAAGTCTCCCTTTCCTGAACCTCCCACAGGCAACATGAAAAAGAAAAGATAAAAAGAACTTATTTTCACCAAAGTTTTAAACCTTATTTGTTTTCATATTTTGTATTGAATAATAAGGAAATAAATACGTTTTTTTCAAGTAACTTTAGGACTCGCCCAAACTATTTTTACCGCTCTGTCTTGTCCTTAGTCAGCCATTATAATTTGATTAAATTAGGCTTTCAGGCATTGGCATTTCTTGGAAGAATCAAAACTCCAGGTGTTTTCCCTTAGCTGACATAGATCTGCGCCTTTTTTAAAAAAATAGGATGGGAAAATGGATTAATGAATTAAAATATGCTTGTTCCTTCCGTAAATATAAAAAAACCATTGAGAGTTAAGTATATGGTTATATACCCTTTGTCTCTTTGAATTGTCTAATTTTTATGCATAGGTACAACCAGATTAGTACCTCTGATGGGTTTTCTGCTAAAATTTAATTGAACCATGTTATATTCCTGTAAAATCATCATGTTGCCTTCTTCTTTTTATCTCTTTACACTTCCTTCTGTTATCATGATTGAAAATTTCCTGACTAGGGATAAGAATCCTTCAAACTTGACAATTGTTCTTTTACTCTCTTAAACCTGTAACTGTCCATTCTTGATTAAGCATCAATCCGGGATAAAAAATTACCTTGACAACTACAATGTTTATTTGTTTAACTACTTGTTTATGTATATGCGCGTGTATGTATGACTGGTTCTCTGTTCTTGAGTAACGTTCTTTTTTGGATAACTACGATGAAAAAGATTTCAAGTTCTGTAGTGTTCCCCGACTATACGTCAAGTTCCTTGATTGTATGCCATTGAGTGGTTCTTTGTTAAGTTCCACGTTCATTCTATCATCAGATACACAAGGCTGAGTTCACTTGTCCACCATGGTTCTCTACAAACGCAAAGAAATTAATCAAAAGAATTTTGGATCCCAATCCCGCTACGGTGAGTTCTGACCCCTTTCTCAATTTGGTTTGGAGTTTTTCCTCTTCAAGTACAGAGATTCCAAAACCATGCTAGTTTATTGACAGAATTTTTAAGAAGCATAGATATGGTTTTGAGACAGTTACGACACTGACATAGAAAAGGCGCGTTTAAAAAAAAATATGTATCATTAATATACAGTAAGAAAATTTTATAGTTCATGTGTTTATGTATTTCTAAAAATTACAGCTGCTTATTATCGACTAATGAACGGGTGTCCCATTATTTAATGTTTAATATACCAGCTTGACTTTTGCAACAGAGAATTACCATTCCAGAGGTCATTGAAAATGAATGGTTTAGAAAAGGTTATAAGCCCCCCACTTTTGAACAAGCTGATATTAGTCTGGATGATGTGGATGCTATCTTCAATGAAACAGGGGTAAGCAAAGTACAATTGGGTATTTCTAAGCCATCATTTAAGCAGGATCTTCATATTGCCCTTGACATTCAGGTTTCGGGTAATCTCGTAGTGGAAAGGAAAGAGGAAAGACCTGCAGCCCCTCTTACGATGAATGCATTCGAGCTTATCTCTAAATCTCAAGGCCTCAACCTCAGTTCTCTTTTTGAGAAACAAATGGTGTGTTTCCCTCTAGTACTTCAATATTGAAAAAGCTTTCACATTGTATCTCTTCAATGAAATAGTTTTTACTTCTAGCTATAAAAAATGTTAAACTGCAATCTAATAGTTGAGCTATCCATACCTACCAACTTCTTTTGTGATGATTTGTTCACAAACATTACTTTTGAATTTGAACTGAGTTGATGAAAATTGTTGTACCAGGGGCTTGTTAAACGAGAAACAAGGTTCACATCCAATCGACCTGCGAAAGAGATCCTTTCTAAAATTGAGGAAACTGCAGCACCTTTGGGTTTTGATGTGAAGAAAAATAACTACAAGGTAAATATTTTTCCTTATAAAGTTGATGATGATAAATTTGGAAAAAGAAATGCAAGTTGTGGAGGACATGATGGATACCAATTTCGACTCTTTAGTTTATCAAAGTCATTAATAATTATTTTTTATGCATTAAAATTTGATTTCCTTCCAAAATTCTGTCTTCTGAGTATGTCTTAATCTGATGCATTCCTTGCAGATGAAACTTCAAGGTGAAAAAACAGGTCGTAAAGGGCATTTATCAGTTGCAACAGAGGTGCTTCTCTTTTTACTTCTTTATATTTTAGAAGCTTCTATTGTATGCCAATTAGTTGAGTTATGATGGTATTATTTTCAGATTTATGAGGTTGCTCCGTCACTGTACATGGTTGAGCTCCGCAAGGCGGGAGGAGATACATTAGAATTTCACAAGGTAGGATCACCATTAATGAACTCTTGGTACCTAAGAGACTAAAACATCTGTCTTTAGGTATATGTGATTCCTTAATAAACCTGATTCTGTTCGATCCAGTGATTTTGACCTTCACATGTTTTCAGAAGTCCATGTGCATTGAATCAAGCAATTATATATCCCAAGTGATATGAAAATTATCAGCAACCCTGAAGTATAAGCAATTTTAGAGTCTCTGTTGAAAGAAACCCGTTTAATTGGCTGACTGCTTTGGGATTCTTTTTAATATTTAAATGTGATATGCCATTGTTTTCAGTTTTATAAGAACCTCAAAACTGGGCTGAAAGACATTGTCTGGAAACATGAAGAGGATGGAGACGAAGGAGATAGTGGTTTGTAATTCACTCATAAACTTCCGTTTGATTCTTTCGTGCTTTCTTTTTGAATCCTCTAGGTTTGTCTCTTCAGATATTGTAAATTCATACAGATTTGATATGCATTCTAAATCGACATCTTTAGAACCGACTGTTCACTATATATTTTAGTGAACGGTTGATAACCAGGATCTGGGTCCAATAGACATACACGCACACATGCACATCCAATACAAAACGAAAGACAAGGATACAAAACCAAATCTCCACTCCCTCACCATGCAGCTATTAGGAGACATTTAATTGCACTTGGTAGTATGAGGCTATCTTGAGTCTGTGCATACAAATGGCAGCACCCTGCTGTTGTGGCTTGATTATAACATTAATGGTTTTGGTTATGATCGAAGAAAAGGAATACAAAAGAATAAACATCTCTCTCTATTGCTGCAGGTGCGAGTGCGAGTGCGAGTGTCTCGAAGCCGAGGTAATTATGTTTCTCTGGAAGTTGTTTGATATTGGGTTGAAGTTTGAGATAGTGGATAATACAGTCATGTACCTTGATTTTAAACTCATATGGTGTTTTTTCTGTCATTTGATTTAGCCAAGAAGTTCTCCCTGCTCACTGACAGCAGCATATTTGAACTCTGTATTGTGGTTCCATCCATAAATAATCAAATATTGTTTCTATACGTGAATAAAGTTTTTGCAGAATAATAATTGTATCCGTGTTTTATTCATTCTTAATACCATATCTAAACATCTGAACAATGGTAAAAGAGTTTCACTCTGTTTTTCTTCATCTAATCCTTCTTATATCAGAAGTTTAATTTGTGAGAGATTTACTGTCATTTTGTCTTGACAGTTTGTAAATATCAGTCTCAAAATTGCTTCTTAGATCCTTGAAGTTTGCCTTAGGTAGTGCTTTGGTGAATATAACAACTACATGATTTGTGGATGACACAAATTTGGTAATTAGGTGGCCACGAGCGACAAAATTTCTGTGTATGGTATGGAAGAACGGATTCTTTACCATGTGTATAGGAGTTGTGGAGGATTTAGCAGTTGAATTTTGACATCCCTTAGTAAGAACATAATCTAGGTGAGTTCAACTCATGACACCACTGTGGTTTGCTTTGGTGAGCTCCACGATATGCAATTCTCTCTTAGGAATATATATGATTCTGATGTGCTTCTTCTAGTGTTGGGGCATCCTGCCCACTCTACATCAGAAAAACCATAAAGATTCTGTCAACCCCTTTTGTTTAAGATTAAACCATACCAAGTGTGCCTTTGATATATTTCAATATGCGTTTGACTACTTTTAGATCTTTGGATTGTGTTATGGAGATCCATGCTATGCCAAGGAAGTAATGCGAGAGCCTCTCAGACATGGCGATCCATGTTAGTGTGTTGAATCTCTATGAACAAAGAGCGAGTAGAGTTAGGGTTAGAAAGCCTTTTGTAGGGGAGGTATTGTGAGAGTCTCTCAAACCATGCTGCTCGGTGCCACATCTAGAGATATGAGTAATGAAAGCTCGGTGATTTCGTTACTGTAATAGCTCAAACGTACCACTGGCAAATATTGTTCGATTTGTCTCCTTACATATCGATTTTATAATGTGTCTATTATATTCACATAAAAAATGTTTTGTTCCTCCAATCGATGTGGGATCTCATAGCTATGTACACTTTCTTTCTGGTCGTGGAGATAAATGAAGGCCTCCCTTTCTTCTTGTTGTGTCATTGAGCTTTAGTGTATTGTCTGAAAATTCATGAAACAAGTTTTGAACTGCCATCTATACTATTGTGATCAAAAGCGATTCATCGGAGACCATACGTCAAGATATCCTTTATGAATTGAACGGTAACCTATGAACAAATGTTATATAACTTCTTTTTTAAAACTTAATTTAAGTTTCTAATAGAAATATACATTTTTATCACAAGAACAACCCATTCTTACAAATTTCAATTATGCTAAGAAGATTTTAAATACAAAATTAACCGTTCAAGAGTAGACACAAAATTGAAAGTTTATAAACTTGTTACACTATTTAAAGTACAAACACCTTTTGAACATAAACTAGAAAGTTTAGATGTATGATGTAAACTTATAGGCAACATTGAAGTAACGACCAACATTAAATTATAAATATTTATTTTTTAAAAGAATAATTTTATGTAGTGAATGGCCTTGGGTCCATTGACTCTCAAATAGAAAAAGGTCTCCCAGCTATCTACTCAGACCAAATTGAGATAAAGTATCAATTACCAAGAAAGGGACGCACCCTACTATTCTAAAGTATCGATTACCAAGAAAGGGACGCACCCTACTATTCTAGGTATCAACTGCATTATTAATTATTGTTTTCTCGTTGTAATAGAGAGAATCAATCCCATTGAGCGTAATAGATATAAGACCATACAAAATTCTAAAGTGAATGTATAGAACAAAACAACCACTCGACCACCAACATGGGTAGCGAACTTGAGGCATACCTGGTCTTCAGATTCACACATCAATAGTTAAGTAGCTACTATTTCGAGTATTTTTAAAAGCTCAACGAAGATTTTGAATTTTCAATCTAATTTTAAAATTTAATATTATTTTGAAAATTTAAAACTCTACAAAATTACCCTTTTTAAATTTTTTTTAATGAAAATTAAGATTTATATTATATCACAATAACCTATTAATAGAAATTTGGATTGTGAGAGAGCTTTTAATTTAAAGAAAGTTTAAAAAAAATTAATATTATAATTTTTTGAAAAATAAAAATATTTTTGAAATGAAAGAGAAAATTGAGTATTTTTGGACCTTATCCATATGATATGATAAAATCCTCGTGATATTTTTAAATTTAAATTTTAATTAATTAATGGCACAAATGTCAGTTAGCGGTCTCAACTATAAAAGCAACAAAGACTCGAGGAAAGTTTCAATTTTTCAGGCACCTGTTTGTTTTCTTTCAACGCAGCTACTGAAAAATTCCAGAGCAAAATCAATTCGTGAGAATGAGGGAAGAGGTAATCAGCTCAGCTGGAACTGTCGATCCAACTCCGGCCGCCAGGTACCGCTCCGCCTTCCATTACTTCTACGAGTCTCTCTGGTATTTGGTCAACCTAGGGTTTTACAATTCTCTTCTTGTCCGCTGTTTTGGGGCGATTTTGTGGTGGGAAATTGTTCAACTTGGGACGCCAACCCTAATTCGTTGTTTAGAATGAAAGTGAAGTTTGAAAATCTTCCCTCGTTAGGTGTTTGTCGCGCGGAAGAAGATCTACTGTGTTTATGCTCGTAATGTGAGGCGGGTGCGAAAGGGTTATGGGTTTCTTTTGTTACATGATTAGCAACGGCTAGGAATTTTTGTGCTCAATGAGGGCTTAAATCACATGTTTGGGTTGAATAAAATTTTGCTTTAGGAGCTGTATATGATATCGAGGGTAATATTCAACCCAACTCTAAGAGTATACATGTTATTATCTGAGTGGGTAATAATCCAAGGGTTAGATGCAGTTTGATCATTTGAACTCACATTGTTTTGCTTAGTTCTTGTTGGTCTCTGAATCTTATCAGTTCTGCTGGAGCTTCATCACCTGCTGTTCCAACAAATATTGGAAGTGTTGATGGATCGATTCGTGGACTTGGTTCAAAAGCTGCGTCTTTATCTTGTGTTGGTTCACAACCACCTCAGCCTTCCTTGAGCACTGGTGTTGGTGGTTCTGCTTTCGGCATGTCGAGATACTCTTGCAGACCATGGGAAAGGGGGGATTTGCTAAGGCGTTTGGCTACCTTTAAGCCTGGAAATTGGTTTGGAAAACCTAAGGTTATAATCTTTATGATTATTTACATAAATCATGCAGTATATGTTTTACTTGGCTACCTTTGGTCCCATTGCATAAAGCTCAATTATAAAGCTCAATCATGCAGTATATGTTTTACTGGAGCTGATTGTGTTTGATATGGAAACCTCAGTTCTAGAACTAGCTCGTTAGAGCATTAGGATTTTTGTTACTTCTCGCTTAAACAGGAAACTGTTTGTTCTCTTGGGTTTATTGGGAGGATTATTGAGCAGATTTTAGTCTTTCTTTGTTGCCTTATTCTTGGAAGTATTAACAATTCATAAAAGTTGACCTTGTATCCAATTATATTCCATGAATTAGTTCAAACCTGGTCATCTCTTTATCTTGTTAATTTATACATAGGTGATCTCTTGAGCTTCATTTAAGTGAAGAAAAATTCTCTAACTACTGGATAAATTCAGTTGGTTTATAGGTGGAACTGATGTAAAGTGATGGTTTAGGTTGTCATTTTTTATAAAATAAGAATAGTTTTATTAATTAATTGAAACTTAGGAATCTACTTGGGATTTTATATCTCAGTTCTTTTTCCTTACAACGTTATTTTTATCTCTTAAACTACTTAAAGTACCGATGAAAAATATTCGACTGGCAATGCATTTTGAAGCTTAGGAATATTATTCTTTCTTGAACTTTCGCAGGTAGTCAATTCACTTGCATGTGCACAGAGAGGTTGGATGAACGTCGATGTTGATAAAATTGAATGTGAATCTTGTGGTAACAGTTTGAGCTTTGAATTACTACAGTCATGGACATCTGCAGAAGGTTAGATTCATTAATGGAGAGCCATTACTAAAATATATACGGTTATCTATTAGGCACCCTCCCACTCACACAAACACACACATAAAAGGAAAAAGTATATCAACACGTGAATTCTGAGGTTTTTTTTTTTTTGATAGTTCACTAATTAACTCGTGAATTCTGAATGGCTGATAATAATGACCCTTGATTTTCCTTTTTGGGTGTTATTGAAGTTCAACTTGCTGAGTTTACAAAGCAGCTGGATTCTGGGCACAAAGTCTCTTGTCCTTGGAGAGGAAATAGCTGCCCTGAAAGTTTGGTGCAGTTCCCTCCAACACCCCAGTCTGCTTTAGTTGGAGGATTTAAGGATAGATGTGATGGACTTCTGCAGTTTCAATCTTTGCCTTCTGTAGCTGCTTCTGCAATTGAACAAATGCGTATTTGTCGGAGTGCACAGCTTGATCGCTTTTTGGCACAATCCCCGAATTTCACCATGGGTGAAGTAGGTGTAAAACTGGAGGGTACACGTGAACTTCTTGAAAGCTCTCAAGATAGAGCATTCTATTTGTATTCTCAAGTAGGCTCATTTGTTTATGATATTTTTTGGTCAATATTTTAAATCCCATTTATTCTTCGGCTGATGTTTTATCATATCTAATTATTTTTTGTTTTTTCATTTTTCAGGCACAGAAAATTATTAGCCTTTGTGGATGGGAACCAAGATGGCACTTAGATGTTCAAGACTGTGAAGAGCATTCTGCACAATCAGCTCGAAATGGATGTTCTTTTGGTCCTACTGAGGCTCAGTTGCATCTTTCGCATGATGCATCTCGAAGCAAGAAAGCACTCTCTACTTCCGTTAAAAAGGACACTGGAAAGGGTAAATTGGTGGTTGAAGACCCTAGAAGTGAATTTAGATCACCTATACTAGATTGTAGCATATGTGGTGCTACAGTTAGGATATTGGACTTCCTAACGATTTCTCGACCGGCTCATTTTGCCCCTAACAACATTGACATTCCTTCTTCAAGTAAGAAAATGGGACTGACTCGTGGAGTAAGTGCAGCTAGTGGAATTAATGGATGGGTGACTGCCGATGATGCTGATAAAGAACGTATTGAAGATCGTGATGAAGTAGCAACAACAAATGAGGCACGCTTACTACCGAACACGGATGTTGATTTGAATCTGACAATGGCAGGGGGCTTAAATGTTTCTCAATCAGAAAAGAATACAACCAATGAACATATTCTGAACGGGGATTTGGGAAGGGATCTAATGATTGGGCAACCATCAGGCAGTGAGGTTGGTGATCGTGCTGCTTCATATGAATCACGAGGTCCTAGCTCCCGCAAACGCAGTTTGGATAAAGATGGGAGTTCAGATGACAGGGCACTAGTAAGGATGCATCAAGCCGATAGTGTTGAAGGAACTGTTATAGACCGTGACGGTGATGAAGTTACAGACGATAGACAATATTCAGCTGGCCCTTCAAAACGTACTCGCGATTCTGAATTTTTTGACTCTTTTTGTTCGTATCAAAGAGATTCAGCAGGTGCTGGTCCAAGTCATTCCATGGGTTTAGACCTTTGCATGGATGGGGAAAAATTTAATTCATTTCAGCAAGGAGGTGATCAATGTACTGGAATTCAATCAGCTAGGGATTCGACCCGTGCATCATCTGTCATTGCAATGGACACATTGTGTCATAATGATGGTGAGGACTCTATGGAAAGTGTTGAGAATTATCCTGGGGATGTCGATGATGTTCATTTCCCCTCTTCCAGTACACATGGGAATTTAGACAATAATGAAACTTCAGAATTGATACATAGCAATCAAGCTCAGCAGAGCGTTTTTCTTCGACCGGCTTCTGAAGTTCCTGGTGAAATGGGTGTGAGTAGTACAAATAACGGTGAAGAAATATTCAATGCTGATACCATCACTACTCAGGCAAGGGATGTGTTTAGTTTTGGAATAAGTGGTGGAAGTGTTGGAATGTGTGCAAGTCATGAGGCTGAAATTCATGGGGCTGATGCATCGGTTCATAGGACTGATAGTGTTGTTGGTGATGTTGAACCCAGAATAGAAGATGCCGAGAATCAGGGACAAACTGGTGAGTCTGCCCCTGATCCTGGACTAATGGATGAGATTGTGCCTGAGGACATCATCAGGGAAGACCCTCATGGTGATAGCCAAGAGATGTTTTCTCGGCCAGTAGAAAGAGCTGATAGTGGATCAAAAATCGATGGCTCTGCTAAAGATGATTCTGTTGAAAGTGGTGGAAAGACAAGTCAGAGTTGCAAAACAATCCTAGTGAATAGCAGTCACAATGCTGATACACGACCAACTCATGGACAAAATAAGATCGACGATCCAAATGCAGGTATAGTTTTAGAATTCAGCATAGTTTTAGAACCTGGTGTAGTAAACGAGAAACCTAGCTACTACCTCCTTCAACATCGGTCCTTTTACTTTCGGTTTTCAATTGTCCTCGTTACCTCAAATAACTTAGCTTGTGAATAGTCTACTGATACTGTGGCTATAGAATCTTGAAAACTAACGCGAGAATCTGGATTTATAACTTAATCTACCATTTGATATGGGCTGATTGAAAGGTGTATGTGTTGTTTCTTAAATCTCTGACGTAGCGATTTGACCTCATGAAACATTTTATTCCTATTTTCTTCTGTTTATGATGTTGAACCCTTCTTTTTCAGAGCCACAAAAAGGGGAAAGCAGTTATGAAATAGAGTTTGATCCGATTGTCCATCACAATCAATTTTGCCCCTGGGTAAATGGAAATGTTGCTGCTGCTGGCAGTACGAGTAGTGGCTCCAATGCCGACGCAGTTGCTCTTAGTGGCTGGAAGCTGACGTTAGATGCACTCAATGCTCTGCAATCCCTCGAGCGTACAGGAGTTCAGACGTTGCAATCTGAGTCAGCAGCATCTCTTTACAAGGTTGGTTTCCTTCTAATACATATTTTGTCTTTCATTGAAGCAATACATGAATTCTTGATTCTATATAAGCTAAAAATTATGGCTGCAGGGCACTCAATAGCATAACCATAAGATTGCATTCCTTAACTTTGTCGGTTGTTGTCATCATCATTGTAGAAATCTATGGTGCAATAACCTTATTGGCAAAGTTTATTTTGTCCCCTGTTTAAAAAGGGTGCAGTGCGTGCCTTTTGTGGGAGAAAATCACCTCGACTCGGTAAGGTAAAAAAACCTTCTGTTTTGGGGGTAAGAAAAGAAACCTCATTGAATCTCGTATATTGTCACGACCTCAAATGTAATATGGGTCGATGACTTTCAAACCTGTGAATGTGGGCTTAAAGGGACATCTTAAGTGCCAGAAGCTCAAGAGTCAAGTTTATGTGTCTTCTTATGCAAGTCCTGTCGGAAAAATAACTCTTTTCCATCATATGGGTGGTAGAGCTAGTTTACCTTAGGAAACCAAAATTAAGAACAAGATAGCAACACCACTCATTTCATCAACAATGAGAAACTGATAAATTTCTTTTCTCCGCCAAATGGAGAAAGCATTAGAGGGCGGCATAGTGCACAAATCTCTAACATCTTAGGAAAACTCATGTTTTTAACCAAAGTGCCCACATAACAACTGTGAACCATATGCCCTGCGAACGAACCTTTATCGGATGTCCCCGAAGGAACAACCTTACCTCAACCAATGAAGGATGAAGGATGATAGAGGAACTCTCCTCGCCAAATGTCTACAAGAAAACTCACGGTCCCGATTTAAACCAGAACTCTGTAACAAGTGGCCTAAATATAAGAATAGAACTGATAATAAACTAGTCAGTGGTAACCTATGTCTTCAGCCACCTGCATGTGCTTGCTGAAAATGCAAAATCGGAAAAGACGGTATGGAGGAACTGCCCTTTAAATATGACATCTGTGGTTTAGAGTATCATCTTTTTAGGTCCCTAAAGTTTCTAAAGGACATGAACCCTTTGATATGGAGTAAGAGGTAGAGATTGGAAAAGAAGGAAGCACAAAAAATGATCTAGAACGTAGCATTAAAGAATGGAGGAACAATGTAATACATTGAGAAACGTTGCTGTATTATAGAATCACAAATAGAAGTTTCCTCATAACCTTGCTCGTCTAGAAGTTTCCTTAAAAGACAAAAAGAAGTCCTATGGTTTCAATTCACTTGATATAATATTATTTTGTCCGCTTCGAGCTTGTAGCTTGAAAGGAACAATAGAATCTTCGCAGTAGGAAGACGACATATCGTTGCCTCTTAATTTTTTTCTTTATAGCTCTATCTTGGTATACACTTAAATTTTTCAACAACTATGGTTTCTGATTCACTCTTGTTCAATTGAGAGCCTGTTCTCTATTTTGCTTTGGCTTGGGGTTGTCTATGAATTTAGTATAGCAATTCGCTCAAGAACTCTGGTATTGGAGGAGGGATAAGCAGTAGGTAATGGTCCAAGGAGTCATCAACTCTCCTTGTGAAGGGTATTGCTCGAGGGTTAGATTCGATTCTATTATCGTCATTGACTGCTTTTACTTCAACTTTCTTAGTACCTTGCAGGAAATTGGAACAAAAATAGAACAGTATCTGAATGTTAAATCACTGAATATAGTATCCTCTACATCAATTCGAATGCGCTCTTGCAGGACGATCATCGTGGTAAAAAACTGCTGCGACAACACTCAGCCAGCAGAAGCCAGGGAAACCTTGAGACATGAGCTCCGAAATGAAAGTATTCACAAACTCACATACTGTCATCTCTTAACTATAAGAAATATCTGCTGAATATCATATTTCTTGTCAGCACTCTGCTAGTTTGTTGCTGATGAATGGACATCTAGTTTTAGGAAACACAGTCTCGAGCTTAAGCGAGAAAGGAAACCAGGCAATGCGGGGCGGCATGATTCTGACTTAGCCTTCTTCATTTCTTTTTCCAGAGCCAAGTAAAACCGACTCGAGTTATAATTTTTCCAGTGCTGGTTTTGCTCGTGTTCCATTTGGAGAACACTCGAGTAACTTCATAACTTTTTATGTTTCTTGTTGCAGAATGATTGGTTTTGCAGTGTTTTTTTTAGTTATAGCATCTCTCTGTTTATGTCTGTTGTAATTGTAAACGCTTTTCACTGTCTTCGTGAAGGTGATTATCCCGAGTCGATATCACGGATTTATATTTCAAATAATTGTAGTCTTGAAAACATACTGGAACTGTTGTAGCTTACAGATATGTATTAGAAGTAGATTTATCACTGCTCTGTCAATCAGTGTTAATGATAAGGTCTGGAGATGACCATTAAATTCCTTCTGTTGTTGATGGTGTGGAAGAAATAAAAGAACTCTCTAAAGCAGTAAACCTAGCACTAAACCAACTATCATATATATTTATCATATATATTTATAGTAATACTAGTTGATCTTTTCAATTGGATTCAAAAAAGCGTAGGCCTCAGGCAATTTGGCGATTGGTTCGATCTTGGAACGCATTATCTGTCCGCTATCCGGTTGGGTAGTAAGGATCGGAGAAGGGCGAACAACTTGATCCTCTTCCCCAGAGATCCCAGATGAGGGAACCAATATAAGAACTAGCACGGATAGAAGTGATTTAATTAGAACGGAGAGTTCTATGGAAAGTTCTATCGAAAGTATAAACATTATATCTACAATTTCGAAAATTATTATAAGCATGCTAAATTAGGTGTACTGCCCGAGCTTTAAAAAGTGTAATTTTTGCCATTAAATGATATTGAGATAAGAATGTGAATGGGTATCGTATCAGCCCCAGAGATAAAACAGAGATAAAATGTGATGAAACCCACCAAGAAAGTTTTTGAGGCCTTTGTGCCGATTCCTCACCCAAACGAAAACAATCTTCGAAATCCAATCTCAGCCAATCATCTTCCACAAAATTCCCATAAAAATATATACTTACACTGAATCGATGTCCCTTCTGGACAGTAGCAGGCCATCTCTGTCCCTCCACCATGCCTGCAGCTGCTTTTCCTTCGTCTTTCTGCTTCTCCTCTCATGAACTCTCTGCTTCTCCCTCAAATTCCCAGCAACCAAACACTTTCTTGGCCGCCAAACCCAAAAGCCTCTTCCACAAGCATCCTCTCTACACGCCGCTTCATTCCACTTTGTCTTCCCAAATCAAAGAGAAAATCCTCTGCCTTGAAATCATGGGTGTGGATGCTGGAAAGGCTCTTTCCCAGAATCCTTCTCTCCACTCTGTAACTCTTGAATCCATTCATTCTGTGATATCCTTTCTCCAATCCAAAGGAATTCACCAAAAGGACTTCGCCAAGATCTTTGGAATGTGTCCCAAAATCCTCACGTCTGATGTTAAAGCTGACTTAATCCCAGTTTTCAGTTTCCTGTCAGAAGACCTTAAAATCCCAGATCAGAATTTCAGAAGGGTCATTAACAAGTGCCCTAGATTGCTTGCTTCAAGTGCCAAAGACCAGCTGAAACCAGCTTTGTTTTACCTACAAAGACTTGGGTTTAAGGATTTGGAGGCCTTGGCTTACCAGGACTCTGCTTTGCTGGTTTCAAGTGTGGAGAAGACCTTGATTCCCAAACTCAAGTATTTGCAGAGTTTGGGATTCTCGAGGAGTGAAACTGTGGGGATGGTTTTAAGGTGTCCGGCTCTGCTCACTTTCAGTATTGAAAATAACTTAAAGCCTAAGTTTGAGTATTTCTCTGGGGAGATGCAGAGGAAAGTGGAAGAGCTCAAGGACTTCCCTCAGTATTTTGGGTTCAGCTTGGAGAAGAGGATAAAGCCAAGGTATGTGGAGACAGTGCAGAGTGGAAAGAACGTGGCTTTGCCTCTTATGCTCAAGGCCACTGATGATGAGTTTAAAGAGTTGTTAAGAGAAGAGGGTGGTTGAATCTCTCTCTTTCTTTCTCTTCTTTGTGGCTTAGAAAGGGAGGCTGATCTTTTCTGTTCTTGCCCCATTATGTTTTACTCTGTAAATCACTATGACTTATAAAAGCTTCATGAGCAGTGGCAGTTCATCATGATATGGGTTTTCCTGATCTGGGTTTCATACTCCTAATCCTCCATACTTTCACTGTTGATCTAACTAAACTCATCTGGGTTTCATCATGATATGGGTATTTCTGATATGGTTCTCATTTTCACGTTTATAGTTAATCATAGCTCAAGCAAGATTAAGCATAGCATATGAAACTCACTTCAGCTCCTCAATGGTCAAATTTTCTGTATGAATTCCTGTCTTTGCCCCCTTTAATTCAGGTTTGTGCATGCAAAAAATCACTAGTTCACAAGATGGCAATAACAGAGGCCTCTTGATTCTGTTTAGCTACGAAGAACTATAACGGTCTAAGCCCACTGCTAGTAGATATTGTTCTCTTTGAGCTTTTCCTTTCGGATTTCCCTTCAAGGTTTTTAAAACGCGTCTGCTAGGGAACACTAGGGAGAGACTTTTACACCCTTATAAAGAATGTTTCGTTTCTCTCTCTCCAATCGATGTGAGATCTCACAATCCACCTGCCTTTAGGGCCTAGTGTCCTCATTGGCACACCACTTGGTGTCCACCCCTCTTCGGGACCTAGTGTCCTTGTTGACACACCGTTTGGTATCCACCCCCTTCGGGGCTCAACGTCCTTGCTGGCACACCACCCGGTGTCTGGCTCTGATACCATTTGTCCTCTTTGGGCTTTCTCTTTCGAGTTTCCTCTCAATGTTTTTAAAACGTGTCTGCTAGGGAGAGGTTTCCACACTCTTATAAAGAATGTTTCGTTCCCCTCTCCAACCAATGTGGGATCTTACAGTCCACCCTCCTTCGCAGCCCACACTAGCACTCGTTCCTCTCTCCAATCGATGTGAGATCTCATAACTTCTCCATAACAAGGACAGAACATGAGTCTGAACATCTATTTATATAAATCTATCGAAATGTGTTTGTACATATGCAAAGCGCAAGTGTTCAGCAATCATCTTTAGAATGTAGCTGCACAATGAAATACAAGTCTACACATACACTACACATATATGCAGACATATCTTACATACAGAACAGGCCGGAGTTTACCTGATTTTCTGTTTTAGACACAACTTTCTTAATACATAATCAGGTCCACTCTCGAATTCTTAATGCAAAATGAGTATCACCTTGTGAATGTTCCAGATTTGCTGCTACTTTCTTGAGCTTCACACTCAAATTAGGCTCTAGTTGAGGAAAACATCTTGTGATATATATACAGCCCACGCTTCCTATTAAAGAACAGTGACAAACAAAATCAAAACTATTGATCTGGTGTTTGATTTCAAGTTCGTGATTACATAGGATAGCCATTAATTATGTTGCATGAACAAAAAGTTACCTGAAGGATGGTAAAAGCCTTCTCCGCAACATATTTTTGCAGCATTGTCGCTCCTCTTTGCTGCAGCTTGTCTGGGTGGAGACACAATCTTGCTTTTTGATAAGCCTTCTTCATTTGTGAGCCTCCAATCAGGTTTGTCAAGGATATTGGAGACCACCCACTACTTGACCACAATATCTGTATTAATCCCACACAATGGCTGCATGTTGTTAGATCAAAGGCTATAACATGAAGAGGAGGGAGATGTGAACGATGTTATTCAATACTGAAGAACTTACGTAATGAAGCGTAGAAAGTAGCAAGCGGATGTTGGTCTCCTTGCCAGCTGACCATAACTTTATTTTCTCATCTAATCCTTCCAATTCTTTCTGTAATTTGACATTAGGAGAATAAACAGAGATCAAAAACTTGTTCCTTAGTAAGAAAGAACATGAGCAACATGCCTAAGTTTCATGATATAGAGGATTGTATTACTTCCATCCACCATGTAGGTAGCCAAATAAATACTTAGTCCTGAAATTAAATTAACCCATTTCAAGTCTTGTCCCTTGTACATGATGAAATTTTTCTGCCACTAGGAACCAATGTGTAACAGCCCAAGCCCACCGCTAGCAGATATTGTCTTCTTTGGGCTTTTTCTTTCGGGTTTCCCCTCAAGGTTTTTAAAACACGTTTGCTAGGGTTAAACCGATGTGGGATCTTGCAATCCACCCCCTTCAGGCCCAGCTTCCTCGCTGGCACTCATTCCTCTCTCCAATCGATGTGGATCTCACAATCCACCCGCCTTCGGGGCTTAGTGTCCTCGCTGGCACACCGCCCACCCCCTTCCGGGCTCACCATCCTCGCTAGTACACTACCCGGTGTCCACCCCCTTCGAGCCTCATCGTCCTCGCAGACATACCGCTCCGTGTCTGGCTCTGATACCATTTGTAACAGCTCAAGCCCACCACTAGCAGATATTGTCCTCTTTGGGCTTTCCTTTTCGGGCTTCACCTCAAGGTTTTTAAAACGCGTCTCCTACGGAGAGGTTCACACACCCTTATAAAGAATGCTCCGTTCCCCTCTCCAACCGATGTGGGATCTCACACAATCAATTAGGAAAATATCCCATAGTGGAAATGAAACTATCCTAGAGTGAAAATGAAATGATGCCCTGCTTACAAATATGAAGCCTTGTGACAGTTACTTACATCAATGTCAACCCGTGGCTTTCCTTCTTCAACTTTTACATCTCTCTGGTGTGTCTGAGGCAGAAACAAGAGCAACCAGTTAGGCAAAGCACCTTACTTAGTACACAATCACAAGAAAACTTTAATGAACTCAATGCACAGATTCTTCCAAGCATAATCCAGAATGTTTTCTCATCAATATTTAGATTAGATCAACAGTATGAACGTTACCTCTGCGGGCTGTGACAATCCATTTCCATTCAACTGCTGACCTGAAGATTCAAATGAAACAGGTCTTCCTGCAAAACAAAAAGAGGCCACTACTGTTAGAACTTTCACTATTGAGTTTATACATTCATATAAAACAGGTCCTGCATGGAAATACATGAGCTGTTACTGAAGTTTACCTTCTTCTTCCCCAGATTGCTCACTTTCTTGTTGTCTACCACTCAAATCTGTCTCAGACACAGGACTTTGATACTTTGATTTAGCCCAAGCAATTGCTTCATCAATGGAAACTTCTTCTCTATATTCTTCTCTATTGATGGAAGTTATCTCAATGACATAAGAACTCATAGCATCTTCGTCGTCCTCGTCGTCTTCTGGTAAAACATTACAGTAAATTCCACTATAGTCAACTGGATCCTCACAGTGTGAAGAACCAGCAGATGATGGGGAGTTTTGTTCCAAATCATCCACACAGATCTTGATGCTTCTAAATGAATTTGGTTCCAGACTAATGG